CACACACACACACACACACACACACACACACACACACACACACACACACACACACACACACACACAACCAGAAGAAACATTTTCCCCAAGAACTTCGGTGAAGAGCAGGGGAAGCATGAGGTGAGACTGAGCCCTTTGAGGGTCACCTACTGGTCTTCTGGCTTTGGTCTGGTAACACACACACACACACACACACACACACACACACACACACACACACACACAGCATCAGCAGCAGGGGGCGGAGTCAGCAGGCTGAGGATGCTGTCAGGTTGCCGTGGTTTCAGCCCCTGCTTCTTCAGGCGACTGTCGTATCAGGCTGAAGGGTGTGTGAGTGTGAGGCTGTGTGTGTATGAGTGTGTGTGTGTGTGTGTGTGTGAGCTGAGATTATTTCAGCCGTGAGGACAGGTGACACAACGTCGGAGGGAAGGAAGGAAGGAAGGAAGGAAGGAAGGATGTGTTGAAGGGTGGAAGTGGAATAACTGCTGCAGAAAAGAAAATGAGTCCGTTTTTTCCTTCACAGCAATCTGAAGACGACAGGAAGCCACATCTGTCCATCTGAAAGGACGACAGGAAGCTTTATCGTCCACCTCAGAACACAGGAATCTTCTTTCGTCTATTTGAGAGGACAACAGGAAGTGTCGTCCCTCCATCTGAGACAGCAGGAAGCATCATTCGTCCATTTGAGAGGACAAGGTAGCTTCATTGCTACATCGGAAAGGACGACAGGAAGCTTCATCCCATCATCCACCTGAGAGGACGGCCATAAGCCTTGTCCCCCCATCTGAGGGGACGGCCATAAGCCTTGTCCATCCACTTGAGAGGACGGTCAGAAGCCTTGTCCCCCCATCTGAGGGGACGGCAAGAAGCTTTGTCCCAACATCTCAGAGGACCAAATAAAAAAGGGAAAGGCGACACTGAAGGAAATAGTCAAGGAAGGATGGCCAGAAATTGAGTCGTGATTGGTCCTTGGGTAAACATTTGTCTCATGTATTTAACATCTTTTACCACAGTGTCTCATGTCTATCGTTATTTCTCACTTCTCATGTGTCTCAGTGTGTCTCATGTCTCTCATAGTTACTGCTCTCTTGTGTCTCATTGTCCCATGTCTCTCATAGTTTCTCATCTCTTATGTGTTTCATTGTTTCTCACCTCTCGTGTCTCAGTGTGTCTTGTGTCTCTCATAGTTTCTCATCTCTCAAGTCTCTCATAGTTTCTCACTTCTCGTGTCTCAGTGAGTCTCATGTCTTAGTTTCTCCCCTCTTGTGTCTCATTGTCCCATGTCTCTCAGTTTCTCATCTTTCATGTCTCTCATTGTTTCTCACCTCTCATGTGTCTCATGTCTCTCAGTTTTTCATCTTTTATGTGTCTCATTGTTTCCCCCCTCTTGTGTCTCATTGTCCCATGTTTCTCATCTCTCATGGCTCTCATTGTTTCTCCCCTCTCATGTGTCTCATTGTCCCATGTCTCATAGTTTCTAATCTCTCGTGTCTCTCAAAGTCTCTCACCTCTCATGTTTGTGTCTCGTGTCTCTCATAGTTTCTCATCTCTCATGTCTCTCACTTCTCATTTGCCTCAGTGTGTCTCATGTCTCTCATTGTTTCTCACCTCTAATGTGTCTGTGTCTCACGTCTCTCATAGTTGCTCATCTTTTATGTGTCTCATTGTTTCTCCCCTCTCATTTCTCATTGTCCCATGTCTCATAGTTTCTCATCTCTCATGTGTCTCAATGTGTCCCATGTCTCTCATATTTTCTAATTTCTCATGTCTCTCATAGTTTCTCATCTCCCATGTCTCTCATTGTTTCTTAACTCTCATGTCTCAGTGTCTCATGTCTCTCATAGTTTCTCGCCACTCATGTGTCTTGTGTCTCTCAAAGTTTCTCATCTCTCATGTCTCTCATTGTTTCTTACCTCTCATGTGTCTCAGTGTGTCTCGTGTCTCTCATAGTTTCTCATCTCTCATGTCTCATTGTTTCTCACCTCTCGTGTCTCAATGTGTCTCGTGTCTCATAGTTTCTCGTCTCTTTTGTGTCTCATTGTTTCTCCCCTCTCATGTCTCATTGCCCCATGTCTCATAGTTTCTCATCTCTCATGTCTCTCATTGTTTCTCATCTCTCATGTGTCTCATGTCTCTCATTATTTCAGTGTCTCATTTCTGTTTGTCATTTTTCTCATTGCTTCAGGGACTAAGTTTTTCATCTCTCATGTCTCTTATAGTTTCTCATCGCTCATGTGTCTCATAGTTTCTCATCTCTCATGCGTCTCAATGTGTCCCATGTCTCTCAGTTTCTCACCTCTCATGCATTCCTGTGTGTCTCAAGTCTCTCGTAGTTTCTCATCTCTCATGTGTCTCATAGTTTCTCATCTCTCATGTGTCTCAATGTGTCCCATGTCTCTCATTGTTTCAGTGTCTCATATCAATGTTTGTCATTTTTCTCATTACTTCAGTGACTAAGTTTTTCATGTCTCTCAGTGTGTCTCATGTCTCTTATAGTTTCTCATCTCTCATGTCTCAGTGTCCCATGTCTCTGAAAGTTTCTCACCTCTCGTGTCCCTGTCTCACTTCTCTCATATTTTCATTTGTCTCAGTGTGTCTTACATGTCTCATTTTCCCATGTATCTGTGTGTCTTATTGTCTCTTGTGTGTCCTTTATAACTAATCTATTTCATGTTTTTTCATGTCTCACATCTCTCATGTCTCTGTGTGTGACATTTGTCTCAGTTTGTCTCACTCTTTCTAACGTCAACTGTCTCGTGCATGTCTTTTGGATATTTTCTTTTTATTTATAAAAAATAATGGATGTATTTGTTGTTTGATCACTGTTGGGTTGATAAAGTTAAATCAAAACACACCCAGCTCCTTCACAGCCTGTTTGTTTCAAACCTTCAAACCAGAATCATTTACCTACAGCATGGCCTCCATCTTTTATTGGCTCTTATTCTGAAAGGGAAGTCTGATTAACCCATGTAAATTCAGATCTACACGTGGGGCCAGTTTGTGGTTCCAGTCTCTGCAGGAGGTGTCAGAATCATGTTTTCAGATCTGCAGAGGACAGAAAAACAAAAATAAATGAATAACCTCAGCTGTCAGTTAAATGAGAGACGGACTGGTCTGTCTTGGTTTCTATTGAGGGAGCTTCACGTCATCATCATTTCCGAACTGGGTGGAGTCAGGACAGAGCTGGGATCAGATGGGACATTACAGCAACGTGAGGTGGACCAGCAGCAGATGGACTGCAGGCTGTAGGACCGTCTTTAGTTCTGGGTCAGGGTCAGAACTGCAGATGCCCTCAGGTCACATCGTTCACAGGAACTTCTGTGCCCCCCATCAGTTCTCCTCTTCCTCTCACTGTGTCTCCTTCATCGTCTATGTAAAAGGAAGCATTACATCATGCTCCTCTGAGAGATGCTGCTGTTGCTAGGTTACCGCTGGCAGACTCCCACTTCCATTTTTAGAAGGATGCTGAGAGACGGAGAGGTGGGGGAGGGGATGGAGACAGAGAGGCATGGAGATCAGAAAAAAGCAAAGATTTAAAAAAAATGTTGAGAAACTAATATTTTTTTCAAACAAAAGACCATAAACTGTGAAAACATCCCTCAGAATCTTCAACACCAGCTGTGGATCTGCATCAGAAAAACAAGATTCATTTAGTTATATTTTTAATATAATGATTCATAGCATTACAAAAATATAATTAAGACATTTACAGCTGTTTAATATTCAAATAACTGAAAATAAATCCACTTTGTGAAATGCATGCTGGGATATTTGTGTGTTCATAAGAAAAAAAATAATAATAAAACTTGACACTGAGTCTCAGACCATAACAAACAGGAAGTGATCTGAGGTCTACAAACAAACAGGAAGTGATCTGAGGTCTGGAACAAACAGGAAGTGATATGAGGTCTGGAACAAACAGGAAGTGATCTGAGGTCTGGAACAACCAGGAAGTGATCTGAGGTCTGGAACAAACAGGAAGTGATCTGAGGTCTGGAAGAAACAGGAAGTGATCTGAGGTCTACAAACAAACAGGAAGTGATCTGAGGTCTACAAACAAACAGGAAGTGATCTGAGGTCTGGAACAAACAGGAAGTGATCTGAGGTCTGGAACAAACAGGAAGTGATCTGAGGTCTGGAACAACCAGGAAGTGATCTGAGGTCTACAAACAAACAGGAAGTGATCTGAGGTCTACAAACAAACAGGAAGCGATCTGAGGTCTATAAACAAACAGGAAGTGATCTGAGGTCTGGAACAAACAGGGATTAATTTGAGGTCTGGAGATATCTGAGCTTTTCTAAAATTCACAAAATTCATTAATGCAAAAGTTTATCTTTTCTGTTGTGAAAGTTTTACTGTTTTACTTTTGTTTTACACCTTTTTTCAAAATAAAAGCATTTTGGTCAAGAATTTATTTTGAAAGTGCTCAGATGATGACTATCCTACTGAGCCACAGATTGGAAAGAACCAGATTTATGTTTTATCAGAGCAGAGATCAGTGTTAGGGTTTATAGAGTCATCTCCTGACTCTATAAACTGTAACTGTCAGTCTGTAACTCAAACTTCAGATCTTCTTCTCTCCTCCTGGTCTCAGATATTTGGAGGGTCATGACGTCGCAGGAGGAGGTTTCTTCCTTCAGGAGGTTCTTTCAGTATGTGGAGGACAGCGGACTCCGAACCTATGATGGTCTAGTGATCCAAAATGCCTCGGACATTGCCAGAGAGAGCGACCGCATACGGAACCAGACCAACTGGACCTATCTACAAGAGAAACACCAGAAGAAGAGAAGGCAGGAAGAAGCCATCAAAAGGTAGGAACCATCAAACCTTCTCACTCAGACCCTGTAGTAAACACAGCTTTCTGTCTGGTTGATGTAAACTCACAGAAATGAAAATGTTGCAGCTGAGATCAAACACACATCTGGGTCAGCTTTTATTTTGAAATGTTAGTAAGTTTAAAAACAATTGTACTTTGTCACTGCAGCTCTTTAGTCTGTAGAAAGAACAACCTTCTTCACCTCTGATGTTTGTCAGGTGGACGATGCTTGGATAGAAATAACCTAACAYTTTTCTCCAGGATTGGTGAAGATGTTCCCACGGCAGCAGATGGAGCGTACGCTGGAAAACATTTCAGGATGGGCTTCATGACGATGCCAGCCCCTCAGGACCGGCTGCCCACGTCCGGCCAGGGCTTCGCTGTTCGATCCCAGTCCCTCCACTCAGTGGGAGGAGAGGAAGACTCCAACCAGAGTCGCAAGCAGCCCCCACCCAAACCCAAGAGAGACCCCAACACCAAACTGAGCAGCAGCTCTGAGGCGGTGGATGGARGCTGTGGATTCTCCAGAAGAGAGTACCAAGAAACCAAAGATGTGCCGGAGCAGGCGGAAGGTGAGAGCGACGCCGAATGTCCTGGCAGGGGCTCTTCATAAATTAATTTAAACTAGAGATACTCGATATTGACTTTTTGCYGGTATTTGACATGCYGATATTGTTCAACACTTAATTTCCTATTCCAATATTAACCGATATTACAAACTAATTTTAAGATGACATCACATAACTCCTGTCAGGGACATCATGCCTGCTTTTTGATACCCCACTGGATGCATTCCACAGGTAAACATTGTCTGTACTAGGCTGGTAAAAACCAGACCCTTGTCCTTCACTTTGCTTYGTACAGAGGGTCTGGACTCTCTGCTATAGAGAAGCGATTCTTGCTGGAGGYGTGGCCTCTATTGAAGTGTGTGTATGTCGCTGTGACTGAGGCTAAGCTAAGAAGCTAACCGGAAATTGCGTGTGCTGTAAACAACCCTACTGAGAGGAGAAAAGTACCGATCCGAACGAGACGACTGCAAATGAGAGCTGCTGCTTTGTCAGACAAATTTATTTTAATTTGAAGTCTTATCAACACAGACTGGCTTCATTCACTTCCTCCACTGCTGTTTGCTAAAATAACTAGCAGACACTGCGCAGAAAATCGACGTCGTTCAAAACTCCACCTTCTGTTTGCTGATTGGCCCAGGTAAAATAAACTACAAGCAGACACTGCACAGAACTTTCTGTTTTCTGATTGGTCCGGCTAAAAATCTGCCAGCGAAATCTTTGTCTATGGGAGAAATCCCAGACGGAGCAGCGAAGGAAACTAGAATTGAGCAGAACTGCGTAGGAAGGCAAGGGCCARGCTATGTCTGTACAAAATTTAAAAACCATTTAACTGTAGTTAGGGAAAAAGTGGCATATTTATTTTTAACATTTTGTCTCAAACAATAGTTTGGATCATGCTCTCCCTGAGATAATCCTGTTTGATGATGTCATCAATTGCGCACCAGTGAACGTCTCTGGACCACAAGAATTTTTAACACGTTTTGGTCAAATCCAGGTGTTAATTTATCAGGCTTTTGTTATCAAAATAAAAACCAATACTGATATGTAGAGATTTTACATTTTTATGCTAATATCAGACCGATAATATCTGTAGGCTGATATTATCGGACATCCCTAATTTAAAAGCATTAGAAAAACAACAAATTAAGAACAGATAAAACTTAAGTCAGTGAGAACAGATGAGTTTTTCAAAGAGATTTAAAAACAGGAAGGGATGAGGCCTGTCTAATGTTGGAGGGCAGATCCTGATTTTCAGGATGACTGAAAGCAGCTGGTCCAAAGACCTCAGTGCTCATGAAGGAACGTAGGTTGAAGTAGGTCAGAGAGGTAGGAGGGTGCAAGGCCATGTTGGCATTTATAGGTGAGCAGGAGAATTTCAAATCTATTCTGTAGCTCGCAGGGGGCCAGTGAAGGGAGGATAAGACCCGTGAAACCAACCAGCAGCATTCTGAACAAGCTGGAGACACAAAAGATAAATATTACATATTGTTACGACCCATCTTGGTCTAGGAGTATGATTCTTGCTTCGGGTGCGAGAGGTCCTGGGTTCAAATCCCGGACGAGCCCCCATTAATGTTACGACCTGGCTCATCCAGGGAAAAAGGAGGTAACATTAAAAAAACAGATAGGTTTGGTTTAAAAGTGAACAGTGGTTTATTTTTGTAGACAGGTGTTATCCAAAGAACAAAATTTAACAAAAGGAGGGTACTTTTTCAGAAGCACAAAGAGTTCCAAAATGGTGGGTTTAAGTAAGAATGTCAAACCAAATAAACGTATCAGTAAATAGGGTTTGTAGCTTTACAAAACACAAACAAAAAAACGCTACCAAACTGGATTAGTAACAAATTATATAGTTGAATTTAAACAACCAAAATAAGCTAAATAAAGAAAACACAGTGCTGTGGGTCTTTAACCTAACAACAATTAAAATACACCAAAAACCACAAGCTGGCTCACAAGGTCCCAACACAGATTAAAACCATTACCAACAAAAAGGGACTAACACTTGTTTAACAAGTAGACCTGGCAGATTTAGACTGGGCCAAGGCCAAACATTTTACTCAAGCACAAAGACAACACCCTACAACGTGGCAAGCTGCTAAGTGACAGCCATGCTGAACAGCAGAACAGCTGGTCTTAAATAGGGAAACGTCTTCACTGATTGGACAAGGTGAAGATGAACGGTCCAACCAGGTTTAAGAGGAGGTCTCGCAGGAGAGGAGCCAGGAGAGGGCAGGCAGTCTGAGTCTCCACCTGCACACAAACCTTTTACACACTAATGGCCTTTGGCCATAACACACATATTACTGTTAGTAATGACCTATTATTAGGTTTTAAAGGCAGGTAAATCTGGCAGTCATCAGCATAACAACGAAAGTACAGACCATGTTTCCTCAGAAGAGACCCCAGAAGAAGCAGGTACAGTGAGAACAGAAGCAGCCCAAGAATTGAGCCCTGTGGAACCCCACAGGAAAGTGGTGCTCTGAGAGTTAAGTATTTCACTGATCTGTGACTGTTAGAGATGAGTTGGTGACTCAAAATTGCAAAGAAGCAGTTGAACCTTCATTCAATTTCTTATTCACCCCTTTGTCCATTCATCTGTTTATGAATCCATTAAACAAGCTCAAAGCTCAGGGAACAGACCACAAGTTTCTGCAATTCTTGGAAGAAAATTAAGAACCGTTGATAAAGTTTCATTTTGGAGACCACCTAATGTTCAAGCTAGTCTCCAACAGGAGCAGCCACATAAGATCCAACCTTCAGGTTTCAGGTTTCAGGTCAAAGTGTGAAACATTTCATAGCATTTCTCTGAGAGCTCAGCGCGGTGGAAGGTCAGTTCCAGGAGAATCATATCATCTAGTTGTTCTCAGGTTCTGACTTCTGTCTGTCTGCAGTTCGACGACAACTACATACCGAAGACTCCAAAAAGATGCCTCCACCCAAACCCAGACGAGATCCCAACACTCAGCTGAGCTCCTCCTTCGACGAGTCCTTCATCCGTAACCATGGCAACAAGAAGTCTTCCTGGCAAGGGGACAAATCCTCATCTCCGGCATCCAGAGACACTGATGACGAGGAGCCGGTCTACATTGAGATGGTGGGAAACATCCTGCAGGAGCTGAAGGGTCAGGAGGCCGTGGAAGACGAGCAGAGCGAGTCGGTGTACGAGGAGATGAAGTACCCGATGCTGGAGGACTTCCTGCAGGACGCTCAGTCGGCCTTCATTGATGCAGAAACATGGTTGTCCCGAGGTTTGCTCTGTGACATCCCCCCACCCTTTCCCAACCTCTTGACCCACCGCCCACCGCTGCTCGTCTTCCCACCTGCTCCGGCTCAGTGCTCCCCCAACTCCGACGAGTCCCCCCTCACCCCACTGGATGTCACCCGTCTGCCCATGTTGGACAACACCGGCTATAACAAACCAGGTGGTGTTGAGCACCCACAGAGCTCCGCCCACCACCGCAAAGACAGGGACAGAGATCGGGACAGAGACAGGGACAGAGACAGAGATCGTGACAGAGACCGGGACAGAGATCGCGACAGAGACCGGGACAGAGATCGCGACAGAGACCGGGATCTGCCTTACACCCACACTATTACCTCCTCTGGTCGCTCGTCAGCTCCTCCTCTTCCATCTAACTTCTACAAATCAACTAGCTCCGCCCACAGTGGTCAAGGTTACCCTCGTAGCCAATCGGCGTGTCCCTCTCCAGTCAGCAAGGGGCGGTCCTTGACTCCTCTGAGCTTGAAGAGGCCGCCGCCGTACGACACTCTGATAGCTGGAGGGAGCATGCCTCGCTCTTCGTCTTCATCGTCATCGTCCTCACAGAGGGCGAGCGAGGGCGGGGCTAAGGTCAGCAGCTCCTCCTCCACCCACAGCTCCATGCACAACGTGTCAGTGAGGTCACAGACGCCAACAAGTCCGCTGGATGAACTCAGCACCCTGTTTACATCGAGCAAGCAGGCGATGAGGAGGACGTCATCAGGGAGGAAGAGCAGGGAGGGCGAAGGTAATACTACTACTACAGTACACAAATACTGCTACAACACAAATACTGCTACAACACAACTGTGTATGTGCTTCAACAGTACACAAATACTGCAACAACACTACTGTGTATTTACTTCAACAGTACACAAATACTGCTACAACACAACTGTGTATGTACTTCAACAGTACACAACTACTGCTACAACACAACTGTGTATGTACTTCAATAGTACTACTATTACTGGTCTACCGTCCATCCATCCATATTTGTACTGTCCTGTTATATTTTCTGTACTATGAGGTATTGTTGGCGTCTGYTGCTTCTCACCAGGTTGTCTCCATCAGCCTCATGTTTAGTTTGTGTTGAGCGTTCACAGAAAACAAACACAAAGATCTGCTGCAGGACTACAGCTGGACAGCAGGCAACACATTCTGAGAAGATGAACAGCTCGGAGCTTTCAGAACATTTGGATCCGACTGATCTGCTGATACCTTGTCTTGTTTAACTGAGTGAACTTTAAGCCCATTTAAAGAGCTCCTCCAGCAGAAAGTTTCAGGGCTAACTGAAGCTATATTGATTTTGTATCAATTTGCTGTTACTGGATCCAGCTTTTTGTCTGTTCTGAAACCCTCACGTCATTTCCAGCAAACATCATAGGTTTAGATCCAGTTAGAGCAGATCTTATCAGGAATCAGAGGAATAAAACCTTTTTACATTTTATATATGTTTCTGTTTTGTTGTTTTTGGGTATGTGGACAGATAAATGTAATAAATCTGAACACTGGAGGGTTTTACCATCTCTTCATCGCGTGTTTTTCGTTCCCCTCCACAGGAGAGTCCAAGTCACTGCCGAGACACGACAGTAAAGACAGAGAAGGACAGTCGAGTCCAGTGTCCAGCAGGATGGGGAGGTCGTCTGTCAGCCCCACCATGATGCTGTCAGGAGGAGGAGGAGGAGGTGAGTCAGACAGCCATGTCAGTTTGAAGTGGGTCAGCAAGTGTCTGAAGACAGAACTGTTGATTCAGGACGTCAACAACAAGACAAAGACTGCAGGCTTCTATCCATCTGTCTATCTGTCTATCTATCTATCTATCTATCTATCTATCTATCTATCTATCTATCTATCTATCTAT